GATGTGGCAGCGGCGGTGGCGGCGGCGGCGGCAGCGGCGGCGGTGCCAGCGCCGGCGCCGCATCTGGCGTGCGGTGCCAGTGCCGTTTTGCCGCTTGGGGAAGCGGGAGTAAGGGGTGAAATGTCGCGACCAAGTGATGCCGCTGTAGCGGGCGGCCCTTCTTTTGGTGCTAATGATGTGCCTTCAACAACGCGCAAACCCCTGTGGGACATGAGTACGAATCCCTTGGCCACCAGTACTTTTGGTCTAGGCCTGGGTTGGCACAACGACTCGGTCGCCACCGCCGCCTCATCCCCTCCGGCGACCATCGCAGAGGTTGGCCCCGCGGGCGCGATGGACGGCGGCGGCGGCGGCGGCGGCGGCGGCGGTGGCGGCGGCGGCGGTGGCGACTGTCGTCCCAGCTCTAGTCCGCACACGACCCCGCAGGTTCGCGTCCTTGGCATCACCGTCAGCCGGCGACTCTCCCTGAGCCAGCGCAACCTCAGCATTGGCCACAACCACTACCACCACAACAACACCATTGGCAACGGCAAGCGTAACAGTTTCCAGCTCACGGCGCGCATTGCTACACCGGCGCCTGGCGGCGGTGCCGTAAGTTACCAACAACAGCAACAGCACCAACAGCAGCCCTCCCGTCCGCCGTCTTCATTCGGATCCCTACCCGGTAGCCCCCACTCCCGCGCGGTGATGTTCGCATCGATGCTCCGAAACGCCCCCACAGCCGCGCAGCTGCTACTGGCGGACGGCAGCCGGCGGAACAGCTTTCAAGTTGCCCAACCGACCACATCTCGCGGCTCACTGATCGAGGCAGCGGCGCTGGTGCCGCCGCCGCCGCCTGCTGGCGGCGACGCTGCCGCCGTCGCTGCCGCTGCCGCTACCGCCACCGACGTTGGACAGCAGCGTCATCATCACCTACGTGCCGTCACGAGCCCGCGCGTGGCCAAGGATTTTCTCCGCATCACCCGCCGCAGCGTGGATGTATCGCAGACCGCGGCCCGGACCTCCTTAAGGACGAGTCGGACCGCGGCGTCGGCCTGTAGCAGCTTGGTTGCCTCCGCCGCCGTTGCTGCCGCGGACGCCGCGCGGTTGCGTAATGCCGTCGATAGTGATGACCTGGATGTCATGCCGCCGCCGCCGCCACAGCCGCCGCCGTGCAAACCAGCGCCGGCGGCGGCGGTGGACGCAGCGGGCCCTTCGGCAGTAGCAGTAGCAGCGGCGAGGGCGCCTAGATGCGAACAGCAGGCGGCTGTAGCAATGGCTGTGGATGGCGTTCCAGCTTGCTTACTGCTCACCAGTGTGCCACCGCCATCTCGCTGCACGGGTGCGGCCATGAGTGTGAATGCTGCCGTGAATGGGTTGCGGGCTTACGGTGTGGGCAGCGGCAGCGGCGAGCAGGGCAAACCAAACGGCTGGCCTTCCGCGTCAGAGACGCCGTTTCAAGCGGCCTGCAGAAGCAGCAGTAGCAGTAACATGGGAACGGGAACTGCGTGTACGAGTGCTAATGCTCCAGCCGCCGCTGCCGCCGTCATCGGCAGGGCTGGAGCAGCGGCGGCGGCGACAGGGGCAGAGGTCGGCTTAGAGACGCACGAGGAGGACGAGGACGAGAGTCCCCGGGGTGGTATCGACCGCGAAGGCCATGGTGTTGCAGCAGTGGCGGCAGTGGAGGTGGCTGCTGCATCCAACGCTTTTGATGTCGTGTCCAGGGCCGCTCCGGTCGCGGAAAAGGGAAACGCTGTGACGCCGGCAGTAGGAGCGGCGACGGCGGTGACTAACGAGGATATGGTGCTGAGTGCTACGGCTGTGCGGCTTGAAGAGATGCGCATCAGCAGCGGCGGCGGCGGCTGTGGCGGCGGCGGCGGCGACGCTGATCGGCCAGAGGGCTGTAGCAGTGACGGCATTGTTGAGTCGCAACCTTCTCAGCACAGCGCCGCCATATTGGATCCGGCGGATGCGGCGTCAGAGCTCAGCATGAGGGAGTGCTGGCATGAGATTTGGGCTGCGAGGGCGGTGGACCCCGTAACTCGTCAAGACGTAATCGTGCTATCCCAGGTGGGTGTGGTGTGGAGCGGGTGGGTCCCACACGCGTGTGACAAAACAACCCACTATGGTTTCTCTCGTGTGTTTCGCTGGTTCCGGAGCACTTTGCTGCGGAGCTGTGGAGCACCTTTCTCTTGGCTTATTATAGAGTGCAGTTTTGCAGTCAGACGCCCCACCATACGGAACGAAGTTCTGCAGGCCTGCGGAAGTCAGTGAGGCATCGAACCTGCCGTCCTGCAGCTGTCGTACCGTCATTAACCGTACTGACCTCCCTTACTCCCACCTCCCACAGCACGACGTGAGCACCAAGGTCATCGCGGAGCGGCACCTGGCGCTGGTGATGGAGGCGGAGCACCGACTGCTGGAACAGCTCTTTCCAAAGCACATTCTCACTCACGTCACAGAAGAGTGGATCGCGGAGGCGGAGAGGGCGGCGGCGACGGCAGCGGCGGCGGCGACAGCAGCGGAGGCGGCGGCGGCGCTCGGCATCAGGAAGGAAGAAGAGCAAACGTTATTTTTAGAGGGTACGACGGCGGCCACCGGCGGCTTCACCGCTACTCATGCTACTGCTGGAGCTGTAGGTGTGCCTCGCGCCACCGGCGGCAGTAGCAGCGAATGGCGACCCGTGGTTCGCGACTGCAACGCGCTTGCCACCTGGCACCCGCAGGTGGGCTTTCCAAACCTCAGCTGGCGTCATGTCTGTCATACGGGTGTCGCACTGCTTGCCGTCGCCGTAACTATCAAAATTTAATTATTCTATTATTATTATTATTATTATTATTATTATTATTATTATTATTATTATTATTATTAGTAGTAGTAGTAGTAGTAGTAGTAGTAGTAGTAGTATATTAAAATATTATTAAAATAAAACAAAACGTGGGTGTGTGGGGTTACACTTCTGGAGGTCCATCACCCTCCCTCAAACCAGGTAGTGCAGGAAATTGACACTTTATTTGGCAAGGAAGCTGTGCAAGGGCCAGGGTCACATTTAAAGTTGAGTAACCCAGGAATCTGCAGTTCACCAGTTCAAGTCCTCCTGTCTGTGACTTATCAAAATCGGAATCGTTATATGCGTACTGTGTACGAGGACGTTACAAGGACGTTACCAATGCTCGCATCAGCGAGTTGCACAAGTAGATCTGCCTAACAGAGCGATATCGGGAGGATTTGAATGGGCATGGAGGGGGAATCTAGTCATGGAGCCAACGCATGGAAGTCGGAAATGTCATCCTAGAGATGACCACCGTGACCAGTTTAGATGTGCTGGAAGTCCCCCTTCACACACCCAAAACCGGATACGGCCACGAGGCATGGCGTAAACGTTTTTGATTCTCCGTTTTCCTTTTCCTTTTCCTTTTCCTTACTCCACTCACTAACTACTATCGTTCGTGCACACGCAGGTGACGCTGCTATTCGCGGACATCAAAGGTGAGCTCCAGGGAGCGGGGCGCGGAGGGGCATTTAGACAAGGGAGGTACTGGGGTACGGTACGGGGTCGTACGGAGCCGTACGGCAAAGACATCTCATGGGTTGACGGGACTCCAAAAGTACCTCATCAATTGCTTTTGTTCCCGGGGTTGGTTCGATTTTAGGATTAGGGATGATCGTCCCTTTCCCCAAAGGTTGTTTATCCCCCCCCATCTTCTTGGGAATCTTGCTTGATTAGCAAAATGACGCAAAATTTCCGTACGCTGGCTCTACCCTTCGTGAGTCTGGAGCCCACTGTAACAACCACGCTCCACACGCCACACACACTCCACACACACCACACACTCCACACACTCCACACACACACTCTTACTTATCGGCGACGTTTTGGCGGATCCGCCTCCGCAGGCTTCACCCCCATGTGCAAGCTTGTTAGTCCCCGGGAGGTGATGACCATGCTTAACGACCTCTTCAGCCGATTCGACGCAATGCTGGACAAATTTGGAGTGTTCAAGGTACGGTAGGTATTTATTTTACCTTGGTCTGTCCGTCTGTCCGTCTGTCCATTGACGCGCCGTTTGTCTGTATGTCCGTCGATCTTGTTGGCTCCACACCAATCCAGGTTGAGACAATCGGTGATTGCTACTTCGTGGCCGGGGGGCTTATCCAGGAGGACGAGGACGGCATGGCGGCAGTGCGGGACGAGGGCAGCCGGGGGGATCCCCTACACGCACAGAAAGTCTTCATGTTTGCAAAGGTATCGTTTCTGTGTGTGTTTTTGGGCGAGGCCCCGGGCGCGAAGCGCCATTCGGGGGCCCGAGCCCCCCGGTTCACTGCTGTCAGTCAGTCAGTCAGTCAGTCAGTCAGTGGCTTACATATCTCGCCGCGCAAAAAATAGCGTTTGAATGCTATATCCATTCTATATCGAAATGCCAAAGGAGAAATTCCAGATATATTGGAGCGCGACAAAGATAGCTTTCCATGGCTCCGAGTTTGACATAAAGTTACATATCTCGCTCCGCAAAAGATTGAATGTAGAAGCTATATCCATTCTATATCGAAATGCCAAAGGAGACATTCCAGCTTTCCTGTAAGTGGCTGCACCGGGGCCGAGCCCCTTTTCGGCTTTGAAAAGCCGCCCCCCTAGTCTTGTTAGGAGCTATGCTAGGAACACAGCGTTGTGCCAGTAATGGAACAGCAGAGAATGCGGAAAGCCATATGTATGGTCCAGATTGCCCGTATGCTATGTTTGGTCTGGTTTTGTCTGATAACAAAAAAAACAATAAACCACAATAAAAAGACATTAGTTGGGGTGTTTTTGCGAAAAATGTTTTGATATGTTTTTTTAATTTCTCTAAATTAAATAAACTTGCAGGGCTGTAGTAATTGAAAAAAGGGTTACACGATAAAAGTGTATAAGCAGTCTCAAGTGTGTATGCCTTACATTTAAATAAAAATGCACCAATTTTTATTGCTTTTGTTAAGAAAAGGTGGATATAAAATTAAATCACCGCTATCTACAAAGCAAAGAACATCACTAAAGTAGCGGCTAAAACTGGTACTGATAAAATAACTAATACTGCAGTAAAGCTTCTAGCCCAAACCCAAACAAATAACGGAATGCACAATAGGGACATTCCAGGGGCGCGCAAGCCAGCTACAGTAACCAGCATATTTACTGGGCCCAAAATAGAACTCAAACCGTTCAAATGTAAGCTTAAAATAGCTAAATCAACGCTAGCACCGCTGTGTTGAACGCTTAATGGTGGATCATAAATGTTAGTAGTTCCACCTGTATGCGGGCTGTGCGTTGTTGTATGCAACACCGAACAGCCCCCGCTCTTTATTGTTCTTAGTCGGTCTGTCCGTCTGTCCGTTTTGTCTGTCTGTCTGTCCGTTTTGTCCATCCGTCTGTCTTTCCTTTTCTTGGGCCTATCTGTGTCTTTCTTTCCGTCATTGCATCATCATCAGCTTGTTGATCCCTCCTACCTACGGCCATCTGTAGTAGCCGGCCGCTGAAAAGGCCTCTCGAGATGCTGGTGGTCGTGCTTCGCGCGTATTTGTAGAGCCGTACTGTGTACCAGCTACTACATCATCCCAGTTGCGTCATCTGCCGCAGGTTCTATGTTCCTTATCTGTCTTAACCTTTCCCCACCTCGCGCTCGCACTCCCTTGCCTATGCGCCCTCTTAACATCATACCTTCTCCCCACCTCCCCCCCACCTTCTCCCCACCTCCCCCCCACCTTC